ATTGAAAAACTGCCAATATAATACCATTATTCAAAAAGGGACAGCAATAAAGAAAAAAGACAATTAGCTTAACATTTGTCATTTATAACGGATGTAATAGCAGAGAAGTTAAAAATACACGATAAAATTAAGCAAAATCTGTTAGAGTTCTTTGAGGAGGTAACAAGCTGGATAGCTAAAGGCAAACCAGTAGATGTATCATATCTTGTAGGTCTAATATTTTTGGGGAGGTGATGGGATAGTGGCATTATCACTAGACTATTAATCTAGGAACCCAGGTTATGTTCTGGCGATCTGGGTTCAAAACCTGCAAAAGTAGATGATAAAGTTTGGATTCAATAAAAATCTGGAATTACAAGTCTAATGATGACTGTGCAAATCATTGTTGACTGTTGTTAAAAACCTATCTAATTCAGATGGGATGGAACCTACTGTCTTTACCTTGTCTAGTTTACATTTGACTCCAGATGCACAGTAGTGTGGATAACTCTTAACTGCCCTTTGGGTAATTAGTGTTGGGCTGTGGCCCAGTGATGTCCACAGCCTGTGAATTATTTTTTAAAATTGTGGTTTCCAAAAGGCATGAAGGATGAGGTAGCACTCATTAGGCTAGTAAATAGGGTAGGAGTCCATGGCATTGGGATGGTATATTAGCATTGAAAAAAGTTTGGCTAACTAATAGAAGATAGAGAGTTGGGATAAAGGGGAGATTTTCAAAATGCCAACCCCTGTAACTAGTGGTGTGCTACGGGGATTAGTGCTGGAGCCACAATTATTTAAAATATATGTTAATTACCTCAATGATGGAAGTGAATGTACTAATAGCCAGGTTTGTAGGTGGGAAGGTGGGAATGGTAAAGATGTCACAAAACACAGAGGGATGTCGACAGGTTAAGTGAGTGCCAAAAACTTGGCAGATGGATACAATTATGTATATTGACAGTAAGAACTGAAGTGCTGAATATTATTGTAATGGAGTAAGACTGCAGAAACTGCAGCATAGAGGATTTGGGATCCTTGTACATAAATCAGAAAGTTATCATACAAGTTCAACAAGTAATAGGGAAGGCAAGTGAACCTTTGGCCTTTATTTCAAAGGTAATTGAATATAAAAAATATAGAGTTCTTGCTAAAACTATAGAAGGCACTTTGATTTGCTTATCTAGGGAAAGATATACTGTCAATTGAGAAAAGGTACATTAGGTTGATTTGAGGTATATAGGGATTTTCTTCTGAGGAGAGGTCAAGTAGGTTGGAATTTAGAGGAATGAGAGGAAGCCTTATTGAAAAATAACATAATTAGGAGGCTTGCCAGTTTGATTGAGGAGTGGTAGAAGAATTGTAGAGGAATTTATAACCAATAGCATATTGTCAGAGTTGTCATTTATTTAAGACAGAGATAAGGAGTAATTTCTTTTCTCAGAGGTAGTCATTCTGGGGAATTCTTTACTACTGAGGGTGTCAAAGCTGAGTCATTAAAGTATGTTCAAGATCAAGGTAGACAAGTTTTTAATCAGTGAAAAAATCAAAGGTTATGGGAATAAGGCAGGAAAATAAATTTGAGGGTTATGAGGTCAGACTTGATCTCATTAAATGGTAGAGCAGACACAATGGGCTGAATGACCTCCTTCTGCTCCTATCTCTTATGGGTTTAAGGATGTTGCAGTTTACCATGAAGCCTTTGCAGGACCTGTCCCATTGTCTCTGTCAGAAACATGAGTAGCTGAGATGTATTTTTCTGATATTTAAATGGTAGGTACAAAACGCATTTTGAAAACCAGGGATGCTGGTAACTGGGATTTTATCATGCACTTTATAACAGCTGCACAGTAATATTTGTGTGTCACAAAGAAAGCTGACCCATATTATTGAGAAGTTGATGATAATAGCCATAGCTGTCTAAAATAGCTAGTCTTCCTCCATGTTCCAAAACCCAAACTGATCTTCAACAGTAAAATCCCTCTTGGATTTAAACAAATGTGGTATAGTATTTGGTAAACTACTTGTGTTAGCATCCTGCAATTTACTGAACTCCATCTGAAGCATCTGGAGTGGTTGACTTGTGTGTTTCAGATAGGCAGGTGTTGCTGCAACAATAAGCACTTGGCGTAGTTTGGTTAGCCACAAGGAGGGAACGAAAAAACATTTAAATATATACTTCACAGACCAAAGTGAACCTGTTTTGTTTTAAACTCTAAGCTGTTGTGAAGGCAAGTTCTGCGTAAATGCCCCCCACCCTGGTTTTCAAAGATAATTAAACAGTAGTCTAAAATGTTTATTTCCAGTATTTGATGGTCACCTCTGAAATGACAATATGACATGTATGAGCACATGCATAGTTGTATTTCTAAGTTCGAAATGCCATGCCATTTCTTAATAAAAATTTATGGGGTGAGATTGCACTGCACACTATTAGTACAATTGGTTAATGCAGTTTAAATGCTAGGTATTAAAAAAGGGTCCAAAGCTCAAATTATGTAGCAAATTTCTAAGTAATAAAACATGTATTTTTGAAAGGAAGAATAGGTCACAGATCATTTCCAGAACTGGAATGATTTGGACTTACCTTTGTCATTTTCCACACGTTGCCTTTTCCAACGAAAGCAAGAATACATGTGAAGGAGGAGGCATTTGCCTCTGCATTTGTTGATCGTGACTGTGAACTTCAGAATAAATGGTACGGTCTGAAAGTAACACTTCATCTCCTCCCCATCACACCTTCCAAACCTTTTGATTCTGTTTTAATGTTGCCTTGTGCCAGTCTGAATATTGTTTTTCATCTTTTTCCTTTTGGACAGGTCGTTCCTTATTCTGCCATTCACAGTCACTCGAAAAAACAACTTTCTTTCTTTACCACAAACCTTTGTCTTTTCTCCATGATTTTTTTGTCATTTGACCTGTCCTGTCCTCCGCCCTATCCTAGACCTTCCCTTTCTTTCTTCCACACCCTCGAACTTTTCAACGGCATAAAAGCCATTATATGCCTACCTTCGCTCAGTTTTAAAGAAATGATATTCAACTAGAAACTTTGACTCTCTTTCTCCCTCCACAGATGCTATGAGACCTGCTAATTATTTCCAGAAATTTGCATTTTTATTTCAGATTTCTAGCATCCACAGTATTTCTCTTTCAGGAATTCTGAAGACTGATGATCAGACCATCTGATTCAGTGTTGTTTGTATCAGCTTGTTGTGTGCACCTTGTTTTGCATGTTTCCTATGTAACAAGAAGAATACTTTGAAAGTCCTCTTTTAGTGGTTTGCGACATCCTGAGGTCAAACTCGTTATGACACAAATGCAAGCCTTTCTTTTTCCTTTTGTCTTTGCTAACTCGTATGCACTGCCTAGGAGGAGCACAAGCAAGTTAGCTAACGTCCCAGCTGGTAAAGTGCACAGCTGAGCGAGGTCCAAAGATAAACAGAACTTGGAAGTGTTCTAGTCTTTGTCACTAGCAGTGGACTTTCTTCATTCGACAGGCATGTTGCACAGTCAACCTCAATGACTTCTAGTTCTTTGAAACGTTTCTACGAATGAGCCAAGTCATTTGATGATCTGATACGATTAACACCATTGACACTGTTGCAAAAATGGTGTACAAAGGGACTCACAGTTACAACTGATTGCATAACTTGATACATTGCAAGGGGTTGGAATATTATGTGTACAGGCATCAGCATGTCTAGTTCAGTATTGACCCAAATACAATGTTCTACATTGGAACTATAATACCAAAAGATACAGTTTCCAAAAAGATTCTTTTAACCACAGTTTTTGTACAAAAAGTAAATTCCATTGTTTTTTTAGAGGGTGTAGGGACGTGGTTTAAACATAATCCTCTGTCAGAACTGCAATGATGGGCTAGCAGATACCCTGGAGAACCTGCTTAAACATCTACTTATATGATTTCTCCAGGGTTTCTCCTAATTTTCTATTAATCATCTGCCAGCAATAAGATAGAGGTAAGGGATCCCCTGCAGAAAGTCTAATCCAGTGCTAGTCCAGACCTCACCATCAAAAGGGTGAAATTCATCTTCTAATAGAAAAGGTGGAGCATACTCATTGTTTTGCCTTAGCTAAATCATCCTCTGAGGAAACTGCAGAAGCTCTTGAAACAAGAAACTGTGGCTCTACAATTTTGTTAGCATTGTCTATTTGAAAAAGGATGTCCCCGGCTAGACATTACAGAAATGAGGTTTGTTTCTAGCGTGTTCAGAAAGTTTGGAGGTGGTATCTAGGCAACAATAAGAATGCATGAGGATATTTGCTGCTCCTGCCTAGGAGAACATCATTGAAATGTTTCTTTGAAGTTGCTTCTTCCCATCATGTTGGTAATCATCAAACAGCACACACTGCTTAAAATATTCACCTGGATTGTCCGCTGGTTGGATAGTTATTTCAGTGTAGATGGGAGTTCAGGTTTTCCAGTGTAGTTGGGAGATCCTGCAGAATCCTCATTGTAATGCAATCCAATGGATTTGACAGAGAAATTAAATTTTCTACTAGGCATTTCCACTATACCTGGAGATTTCCACTTAACACAAAGAATTTGGATGCTTCCAATGAAATTAAATAAAAGCTACTCAGGAAAATTTAAATGTTAAATAGTCTAACACCTGAGTACCTATTCAACTGAAAACATACTTATCTCAACACCCCCTCCACAACCCCTCCCCCCAACCCACCAGAACACTATCAATGACCTTCTGCATTCTGCAAGTGTAAGGGTCATTATCTTTCTGCATTCACACTCACACTCTAACTCTGCCACTGCACCCACTTCCCATCAAGGCTCGTGAGCTACCCACTCTCATTATTTCATGCAATATCTTCCCTCAATAGCTCTCACCTACACCATTAAATCCACACCCCCACCCAAGCTGCTAACCCTTCCCTACTCATCCACCCGGGGCACCTCACCACCTTTCCTGCTCCTGCGCCATCATTGGCAGCTCTTCCAGCCACTTTCATCTCTCTTATTCCTTCTCTTTGTCTCATTTCAGGAGAAAACAGCCCACAATGGAGGTGAAAGGGCCAAGACAGGTGAAGTGGTGGCTGATAATCGTCTTCTTACGCCATAGAAAGAGAAAGCAGCTCAGCTCGTTGGATAAGACCATAACTGCACATGTGGTGATGCCGAAAGCTCCATGTCCTGGTAACCAAGTAAGCTTCATTGTTCTGTGCTGCACCGTTTCTCTATTAGTGTCAGAGTAGTCTGATCATGCTCAAGCTTCTATGCCTGTTGTACAACTCATTCACTCCTTTGTTTTATGCAGGCATGATTGGCACCCACACAGCCACTGCCAACAAGAGAAAAGCCCCTCTGGATATCAGCTCTTATCCCATCTATTAGGGAGATACCAGTGATCCCTTAGAGGATGTACCAGCAAGACTGTCTCCTGCGAACTCCACCAGCTCAGAGACTTTCGCATTGCTGGGTACTTGACCTACATTAGTATCTAATAGTGGTTTATATAGTTTTAGCAAGACTTCCCTACATTTATACTCCATTTCTTTTGAAATAAAGTCAACAGTCCACTCGCCTTTGCTCTTACCTGCTGAACTTATAAGATAGCATTTGTGATTTATGCATGAGGACTCCCAAAATACCTTTGTGCTGCAGTTTCTACAGTCTATCTCCATTTGAATAATATTCAGTTCTTTTGTTTTTCCTGCCAATGCACATAAATTCACATTTTCCCAGATTATATTTCATTCCCAAATTTTTGACCACTCTTTAAACTTGTCTATATCCCTCCGTAGACTTTTTGTGTCATCCTCACGACTTGCCTTCCCATCTATTTTTGTGTCATCCAGAAACTTGGCAATAGTGCATTCACTTCTCCCATACATGTCTTTAATATAAATTGTAAATAATTGGGGTCCCAGCACATTCCTGCCCCTGTGTTATCCAAGTCTCCGTAATGGCCACAACATTTTTGTTCCAAGTACTGATCTATGCTGTAAGTTCATCACCCTTATTCCTGACACTTCTTGCATTGAAGTAGACGCACCTCAACCCGTCGCACTGACTGCCACTTTGCCCTATTGGATTTGGTGCTTGGCAACGAACCAGGTCAGGTGTCAGATCTCTCGGTGGAAGAGCATCACGGTGATAGTGATCACAACTCCCTGACTTTTTCTACAGTCATAGAGAGGGATAGTAGCAGATGGTATTGGAAAGTATTTAATTGGGGGGGGGAATTACAATGCTATTAGGCAGGAACTGTGGAGCATAAATTGGGATCAGATGTTCTCAGGGAAATGCACGATAGAAATGTGGAGGTTGTTTAGGGAGCAGTTGCTACAGGTACTGGATAGGTTTGTCCCACTTAGGCGAGGAAAGGATGGTAAGGTGAAGGAACCTTGGATGACAAGACATGTGGAACACCTAGTCAAGAAGAAGAAGGAAGCTTACTTAAGGTTGAGGAAGCAAAGATTGGACAGGACTTTAGAGGGTTACAAAGTAGCCAGGAAGGAAATGAAGAATGGACTTGGGAGGGCTAGAAAGGGATATGAGAAAACCTTGGCGGGTAGGATCAAGGAAAAGCCGAAGGCATTCTATACTTATGTGAGGAACAAGAGGATGGCCAGATTGAGGATAGGGCCAATCAGGGATAGTGGAGGGAGCTTGTGTGCGGAGTCAGAGGAAGTAGGGGAGGTCCTTAATGAATACTTTGCTTCAGTATTCACTAGTGAGAGGGACCTTGATGTTTTTGAGCACAGCGTGAAACAGGCAGATATGCTCAAACAGGTTGTTGTTAGGAAGGAGGATATGCTAGAAATTTTGAAAAACATGAGGATAGATAAGAAGGGTCTAGACCCGAAACGTCAGCTTTTCTGCTCCTCTGTTGCTGCTTGGCCTCCTGAGTTCATCCAGCTGTACACCTTGTTATCTCAGATTCTCCAGCATTGGCAGTTCCTACTATCTCAGGATAGATAAGTCCCCGGGGCCAGACGGGACATACCCGAGGTTGCTATGGGAAGCGAGGGAAGAGATTGCTGCTCCTTTGGCAATAATCTTCGCATCCTCACTGTCCACTGGAGTAGTGCCAGAAGACTGGAGGGTGGCAAATGTCATTCCCTTGTTTAAAAAAGGAAATAGGGATAATCCTGGAAATTACAGACCAGTCAGTCTTACTTCTGTGGTGGGCAAATTATTGGAGAGGATCCTGAGAGATAGTATTTATGATTATTTGGAAAAGCACAGTTTGATTAGAAATAGTCAGCATGGCTTTGTGAGAGGCAGGTCATGCCTCACAAGCCTTATTGAATTCTTTGAGGATGTGACAAAACACAACAATGAAGGTAGAACAGTGGAAGTAGTGTATATGGATTTTAGCAAGGCATTCAATAAGGTTCCACATGGTAGGCTCACTCAGAAAGTAAGGAGGCATGGGATTCAGGGATATTTGGCAGTCTGGATACAAAACTGGCTGCCCAATAGAAGACAGAGGGTGGTAGTAGAAAGTATTCAGCCTGGAAGTCGGTGACCAGTGGTGTGCCGCAGGGATCTGTTCTGGACCTCTATTCTTTGTGATCTTTATAAATGACTTGGATGAGGAAGTGGAAGGGTGGGTTAGTAAGTTTGCCGATGACACGAAGGTTGGTGAAGTTGTGGACAGCGTGGAGGGCTGTTGTAGGTTGCAACGGGGCATTGGCAGGATGCAGAGCTGGGCAAAGAAGTGGCAGATGGAATTCAACCCAGAAAAGTGTGAAGTGATTCATTTTGGAAGGTCGAATTTGAATGCAGAATACAGGGTTAATGGCAGGATTCTTGGCAGTGTGGAGGAACAGAGGGATCTTGGGGTCCACGTCCATAGATCCCTCAAAGTTGCGACCCAAGTTGATAGGGTTGTAAAGAAGGCGTTTGATGTGTTGGCTTTCATTGGCAGGGGAATTGAGTCTAAGAGCAGTGAGGTTATGCTGCAGCTCTATAAAACCCTGGTTAGACCACACTTGGAATATTGTGTTCAGTTCTGGTCACCTCATTACAGGAAAGATGTGAAAGCTTTAGAGAGGGTGCAAAGGAGATTTACCAGGAAGCTGCCTGGACTGGAGGGCAGGTCTTATGAGGAAAGGTTGAGGGAGCTAGGGTTTTTTTCATTGGAACAAAGAAGGATGAGAGGTGATTTGATAGAGGTTTACAAGATGATGAGAGGCATAGACAGAGTGGATAGTCAGAGACTTTTTCCCAGGGTGGAAATGACTATTACGAGGGGGCATAATTTTAAGGTGATTGGAGGAAGGTATAGGGGAGATGTCAGAGGTAGGTTCTTCACACAGAGAGTGGTGGGCGTGTGAAATGTGCTGCCGGCAGTGCTAGTGGAGTCAGATACATTAGAGACTTTTAAACAACTCTTGGATAGGCACATGGAGGATAGTAAAATGTAGGGTATGCAGGGTAGATTGATCTTAGTAGGATAATAGGTCAGCACAGCATCGTGGGCCAAAGGGCCTGTACTGTTCTATGTTCTATGTTCTATGATTACAGTTGGACTTCACTGGTTACAGGTTGCCATCCTGAAAACCTCCTCTAATCCCAACTCTCTGTTTTCTAATAGTTAGCCAATCCTGTATCCATGCAAATATACAGTCTCTAAAACCATGGGCTCTTAATTTATTAGGTAGTTTTATATGCAGTACTTTGCAGAATACCTCTTGAAAATCCAAATGTACTGAATCCACTGGCTCCTCTTTATCTGTCCTGATTGTTATCTCCTCAAGAATTGTAATAAACTTGATAGATTTGATTTTCCTTTCAAGGAAGCATGTCAACTCTGCTTGATTTTTTGCCAGATTCAAAGTAGCTTGATCCCTGTATGGATCCATAACATATTGTTACTCGGAAACTGTCCCAAAAACACTCTGTGAATTTCTGTTGGCTACCTCTGTCAATTTGATTCTCTCCAATGTGTGTGATGATTAAAGTTACCCATGAGTAATATACTGCCTTTTTTAAAATCTCCTGCTTTATTCTCTGCCCTACTGGGGACCTGTAGACTAGTCCCACTAGAGACTTCTTACCTTGTTCCCTTTAGTATCTGATTTGGTACCTATATTGAGTTTTAATTAATTATTTAACTATAGTGTGCACTTATTTGTGTTGCTTTTTGTATACATTATTAACTTCATCACCAGTTTATATATATTAAAATTTAAGAATAGGATAAATCTTAACCAGCTACATGATCCTCACCAGCTTGATCCTTTCCCTTTAACGGAGCAAGAATTGATTCCTACAGGGCAAGAAGGATAGTAAAAGAGAAAGAAACAAACACTTCCTTCTCCCTTCCCTAAATTACCCACTCAAAAAACTCCCACATTTGCACTCAATTACGTTAGCTGCCCCAATTTTCTATCTATTTTGTTGATACCCATATGAACAATGATCTTTGACAGTACATCCTCCTCCTTAACAATTGTCTGCAGTAACATCGGTGACCCTGGCACCAGGGAGGCAACATAGTATTCATAATTGATGGCTCTATGGCCACTAGAATGGCAGTGGGATTGGAATTTCCACTCATTCATCCAGTGATTGGGTTAATTTCACATTTATGTGTGCATCCTACAGGGGCATTGTGAAACAGAAGTTGCCATCCAAAGTATCCCGCAGCCTATTATGAAGGCCACTCAATCTATTGCAGTCACTTCAGGTGAAACAAAGATTACAGAAGACAGTCAACCTGAACAAGTCTAATGACAAGCCTTGTCGTTCAGGAGCAGGTTTTTGCCTTTTGGCCAGAACTACCATGTAAAATTGACTCACTTCCCAAGGGTATCAAAGACTGAATCATGGTGCTCAAATAAATCTTGCTCAAAACCCAAGTATAACATCAACAACAATACACATGGACAAGATTAAAGATTCAATGAGGTCATAGCAGGATTATCGCAATAATTTCAGTAGGGTAGACCCAGTGATTTTAATGCACATGTTGGTACTGGCTGTAATACATGAAGGGGAGTATTGGGACACCACAGCATTGGAAGAGTAAACTTCAATGTTCGGCTTCTGTCTCGGGGTAATGAGTTTAATCTCATGATTACAAATATAATCTTCTAGCAAGTTGAGAAACTGAAAGCTTAATGGCTGCAACTAGATCTATTATTGACACTATTGGGCATTGCTATTGTACGACAAAGAGACTTCAAGGACTGATGCTCTACTCACTGCTTCAGAAGTGTTGAACACTGGTCACACTACTAGCTGTCAGGAACAACATGTTCTTGAAGAGAAACCTGCTGAATCAAACCACAAAGGAAGCTTGACAAAAATATCTGAACATAAGTGGCCAAGAGACAAGAACTGGAACAAAAATTAAACATACAACTTGCTGGTGTACCAGAATATAACACAGACTTTATTTCTGGAAAAAGATAGGCATGTT